TTACATTGGAACTGGAGGACTCCAATCACAAATAGTTGAGTTAGAGAGATTGTGCTTTACAATCTTAACATGGAATATATTCCAGAACTGAGCACTTTGTTAGAATTGACATTTTTATTTTAATTATCATTCTACAAAATGGGTGCCATTTTGTCCCTTATTTGCACAAACAACTTATAAGAAGTATGAGCATTAAATTATATTTACTTTTCACAAGCGCAAGGCCTTTCAAGTAAAATAACTGGTCAGCCTTGTTATTTAGGCGTGATGTCACAAAATACAGCATATTAAAGTGGATTAATTTAGCTTGAGATGAGAATGCAATTTGTTAACCCTTTAACTTATTATATACTGGGAAAAAATGGTGTAGAAACAATTTTCAGTCCAAAATTGCTAATAAATTTCATAATTAATTACAAAGAAATGGCAAGTAACACATTCAATCAAATGTGAAATTTTGAAGCAGAAAGACTTAAATTGTATTTTCTTGTAAAACATACTCCAATAATCTTTGTTTTTTAGGCCACCTGCCAAAATGTTTCAAATCATTTAAGTTCTGTGTACATTTCTGTGTTATATTTATATTTATACCTCTGTGCTCTGATGATAATCAAAAGGTAATCAAAAGGAACTTGATATGGAGCTGATTTAACAACAGCTGCTTGATTTGTACAGATTAGATGAAACTTCTCGTTTAACATGGTGACTGAAGTGCTGCAGAACAACCTTGCCTTTTCCTAGAAATGACTGAGTCTGTAACAGACATTTAAAGAGCATGACAACATCAACTAAGTTCAATTGGAATTGAAACTAATTACAGTAATTCCTGAAGAAGAGCAAACAGACTGAAGGAAACATAATTTTCAAAACTAAAAAATGTCTGGTAGATTCATTGGTACTACAGAGACTTCATAGATATTCAACGAGCAGCCTCTGTCTTTATTATCTCTCCACACTTCCTTTAATAGTCCCATAAGAGAATAACTGTCATTCAGTCTCGTTGTCTTACAGCCAATGATTGACATCAGACAGGTGTCTTATCAATCCTTACAACTAGGGAAGATAAAGATGGAGCATCTATTCTGTTTTACTGGTGAAAATGTACAGTAAAATATTTTATATGATTATCCAATATGTAATATATAAAATATAAAAACATATATTTAAATAATTATTTTTATTGCCCTGACATTGGTATTTTTAACTAGCCTAATACAAACATGAAAATTTAAATTTGTTTCTGAATGCTTTCTATTTAGAAAAGAAAGGTAGGTTCAACTCTAATCCTGGCCTTCGCTTTTTTTAACAGCCTACCTAAATCCAGTATTTACACAACAGAAATTCAGTAAACAGTTTTAACTCCGAGCCAGACACAACAATATTTCATGCATCCCTGCAATCACATTCATTTGTGTGTTATCTGTGGAACATTATGTTCATGACTTGCACCCTCACGTGACCTCATGCACATGCTGGTGTTTATTGTAAATACACATGCATAATTCATTTTACATATTAAACTTTTTACACTTTTAGGATCTAGAGTTTCAAATAGTCTCATTACAGTTCAACCATTGACACATTTGGTTGGTGATTTTCAAATGTGTGAGCTCTGCACCCCCCTCATGCAGGAACCACCGACAGAGTGTGGGCGTGTTTGAAATCCGTATAAACCATAAACAGTCGAGAAACTTTTTACACTTTTAGGATCTAGAGTTTCAAATAATCTCATTACAGTTCAACCATTGACACATTTGGTTGGTGATTTTCAAATGTGCGAGCTCTGCACCCCCCTCATGCAGGAACCACCGACAGAGTGTGGGCGTGTTTGAAATCCGTATAAACCATAAACAGTCGAGTTGCCTGGCAACCATGAATGACTCTGGGGTGTGTCAACCTCATGGCAGCAAGTACTAACATGTTTTTTTTTCCTCCTCCGTAAGGCACATGATGTGTGTGAACTTTAAATAGGCCTACATAAATACATAGTTCAGATCTTCATTAGATAACTACAATAAGTATATTGATACAATACTAATAATTAGTATGTGTACATATATAGCCTTCTCACAGCCTATTACATGATGCACAAACAAACTGAATGACACAAGGACAATTGTAATTTATTTATTTATTGTCAAAGTGAAATTAAGTGTCTAAACTGGTGGCTGGCCAATAGAGGGCGCCAGGGCGCCGCCCTCCTTGAGCTACACACACATAACAATAATATTAATAATATTAATAATACATATATAAGATATATATACATATATAAATAGCACACTGTGCATAGCTACATTGTGAATAATGAAAATTAAAGAGTTTTTGTTTCTTTTAATTTGACAGAAAATCAAACTTCAATTCCAAACACAAACTTATTCCAGAACTTGGTAATATATTTATCTTATCAAATATGTTTCAAATTCTAGTCTTAATATTTATTAACCTCAGTTAACTTTTTATTCTTAACCTATTCTTAACCTTAAATCATACTGGGATGTTTGCTGAAATTGTTGAATGTGGCACAGCCTATAGAATTTTGTTTTACCAGTGTCCACTGTTAATGTCTGTCATACGACCATATAATTATAGTTGAGGAAGGTGATCACTAGATGTCAGCAGTAAACCACATGACATGAGCACATCAACTCGCTCTCCGTCTTCTCCACTCCTCCTTTTCTATTTCTCGTATCTTCTGATTTAAGACAGAACTATTTAGATATGGGTCAGATGCACTATTCCCTAAACCTATACTTAAGATCTGGAGACCAAATATAACACTATAATGAATTTTTCATATTTGCCATAACATTACTACATTATATTATATGGGTTTAATGCATTTGCAGACATTGTAAGAGCTACAATAACCAGTTTATGTTAAAACAAAAATACAAAAGCAAAAAAATAAAGGAAAGACCCTGCACAAATCTGTTTTGAGACTACTTTTTAGAAGTGCATAATGATAACCTTTGACAACGTTTAATTCCGGTGCGAAAAGACTGAATATCTAGCGCATGAGCACAGGGAGATTTGAGAGTGCACAGGACACAGTTTGAGGGAAAGGAGGGACATGTTTTAAGCGCGCGCACTCTCTCTGGGCGAGAGCAGCGTGTATCTGACATTTGTCAGTAAAATAACGCTTGCTAAATGCTTGTTTAGAGCACAACTACTGTTTACATCTGCTTCTAATGAATCCTTTTAAAAATTGACATCCTAACATAAACATATTTGTTTTCCCTTATCAGTTATGATGTTAAAGTGTCATAATGTCATATAAAGTGACACCAGTCATTTTATTTTTGTGCATTTTCTTTTTTATTTTCCTTTTCTATTTTATTTTCCTTTGGTATATTATAATTTTAGTTTTTACGGTAGAGGGCATAATCTTTCATGATGGATCATCATGGCTATGGCACCTATACACTAATAATGAGTGTGTGTGTGTGTGTGTGTGTACCCAAAAGTGAGCTAAACCTGACAATAAAAATTTAAAAATTTAAATGGTAAAAATGCAGAAAGTTTCCTGTAAGGGGTAGGTTTAGGTGAAGGGTTGGTGTAGGGTGATAGAATATACAGTTTGTACCGTATAAAAACCATTACGCCTATGGACTGTCCCCATTTAGATAGCTAAGTAAACATGTGCGTGTGTGTGTGTGTGTGTGTTTGTCTAGGTGTGTTTATTTGTGCACTTCAGTAAAAATGTCGGAGGTGCATATATGCTTACCATACTGTAGAAGTGGACCTGAACAAAAGAGGGCTACATAACGCACATTTAAAAGTACACACCCTTTTTTGTTAATACTCCACAGTCCACAGATTTGTCACAGAGGTTTGTGACATTGACATTTACTTTGTTGCTTGCGTTACCAACTTGATTGTGTTCTGAACACACACACACACACACACACACACACACACACACATATATATATATATATATATATATATATATACACACATCATTAAAGGAAGATCCGTGATATATGTTAGGTTAAGTGAATTCAAAAGGGTGTGGTCTGTTTATCCGGGTTTACTTTTTAAGGATCCAAAACTAGACAAATAATCAAGATATTATGACACTCATGGCTGATGAGTCAGTGTCTTAGCATTTCTCTCATAAAGGAAAAGCTTAAAGGAAATACTGAATAATCCTGTTGCTGCACGACCGAGCAGTCATCCGTTTTCATGAAGTTGAGCAGTCATTGTTTAGTATGTGGTTTTGTGCACCTTTGTATGCATCATTGCAGGGTGCGAACTACGGGGGAGCTAGGGGGAGCTCGGCTCCCCTTAATAAGACATGGGCTCCCCTGAAAGCTGTTATGTATCTTTGTAAGTCATTGTAAGCCCTTTTTTGAGGCACGCGCAAGTGCACAAACACCCCCCCCGTTATAAAAAAAATAACAAGTGGGCTCCCCCAAAGTCCATGGTATAGTTCGAACACTGCATAATTGTATATGTCTGCAGACGGCTTAATATTTGTTTGCATTTCTGTGTACAGCTAGATAGAGTATTCATGCAGTCTCTTTACAAAACGAGGCCATTTTGCAAATATCAGGCATTCTTTGATGTCTGAATACTAGATTTAGAGAGGATAAGCATGTCTCTGTTTATTCCAAATATGAAGCTTCGCTTGAAGCTTGTGATTCAAACTTCCATGAAAACATCAGCAACAACGTCATAGCTACACAATGAGTCTTTTATCTTTATCATAAATGCTGAATCTTTTTTTAAACAATGTTTAAAGATTTGACATTCACATCAGAGAGAAAAAAAACATGGCGTTTAGGGCAGACAACGCCCAAAAGAGAGAGCGAGAGAGTCACTAAAATATGACTCAGATTCCCTATGCAGTCTGACTGGGGAAATCCCCTATATTTTGTTTATTTATTTACTATAAACTAGCTAGAGTCAAACACAGCAGAATATGGTATTGAAAGCTGAACAGTTTAAAGCGTATTTTTTTTATGGCATGTGAGTCTCGTCAAACTTGATTGGGTGTGCTACAGATCCTTCATAGCACAAGAATGAATCATTCCTGCCGTTGTGTGCGCTGTGGAGTATAAGTGCTTTAAAAGCAGCAGACGATTTACTCCAACAAAACATCTGCACAACTTCTCTGGGAACACAACAACCTCAAGGTAGGTCAAATAAAATAGAGAGAGAGAGAGAAAATGAAAGCGCAAAAAGCAGGAAATACAGAGCTACAAAAATAGGACAGAGAAGAAGTTTATAGAAATGCAGTCCATCATTTTGTGGGTATTTTTGCAACAGATATAATTGTGTTGTATTGGCTAAATACTTGCTTTTCTGGATGAAAATGAATGTATGGAGGGGAGCTAAATGTATGGAGAGGTGCTGACTGGCATTAGTGCACTTCATGAGATGATCTAAATGAATTCTCTCTCTTGTTTTCTTTCTCATAGACATGTCTAAGCTGGAGAAAGCCATTGTGGCCATAGTGGAGGTGTTTGAGGAGTATGCAGGGACAGATGAGCAGAAAACCCAGCTCAGTAATGCTGAACTTGGACAGCTCATTAAAGCCCAAATTACCAGTCCTGAATTTAAGGTGAGAATTAGACAGATGCACAGAAGAAGAAGAAGAAAAAAAAAAGACGAAGTTGTGAGAAAGAAAGCTATTGGTTGGAGGAAGTGAACACCTCCAACATGTTGCAACAAATCCAATTCCTATCTATTTCCTAATTATACAGTATGCTGTGCATTTGTTGTGCAATGAATGTTATTATGGCAACCTGGCATGAGAGAGGTTTACCCTATATGAGCCATAACATGCATGCATGAGGCTCTTCATTTTATACACCTTTCATTTGCTAATATACTTTTTAGTATCTTGTACACACTAGTTGCTCCTTGCATGTTTTTTTTTTTCAGTACAGCTATGAGTGGTATGTAAGTAATTACAGCATTGACATTCCTCCCTCTATGTCTGTCTCAGGATAAAGTGGATCCAGATAATATTAAGGAGGTAATGGAAGAGCTGGATAAGAACCATGATGGTGAAGTGAACTTCCGTGAATTCAGTCAGTGTATTGCTGGCTTAGCCAGGGCCTACTACATAAAGAAGCACGGCAAGGAAAAGTGCAGAGGAAAGGGCAGGGGGTGTCAGGATAAGTGAACACTCACATCCTTACACTCCTGATGCACTAGACTCTTGCCTCCTACAAGGTTCCAAAGTACCTCTCTATAATGTGTAATAATGTTGCAAACAATTTTATATGCTGTAAGACAGGCACAGTAAAAATGGTTTGAACAAATATAGTGCCATTTAGTACCATTTAGTTCATGTAGTAGGAAAGATTTCTCAACAGTGTTGTGAAAAATGTTTGTCCTGCCTAATGAACAATAAAATTTACATGCATTTTGCAGTAGTGTAATCTTTAGCTTTCTGGACAAAAATAAAAAACCTATTGTCATGACTCATGTACTTCTCACTTTATTTTTTCACTTAATTTATATGTCATCTTTTACCAATGATGGCATTTATGATGTCATATTATTTCACATAATTATGTTTTACTATGTTAAATATGTATATGTATATGTACATCATTAATTGCATGCAACGTTTTCAAAAAAACCTGTATAGCACATACATTTATTTAAATTATTGCATGCTGGGCCTTAATATTATATGGATTTTTGGAGGTCAAGGAACCACTCCATGATATCTTTTTATATCACATAATTATGTGAAAAATTATATATATATAATTTTTGAATTTTTTTTGGTAATTCATAGACACTTCAATTCTTGTCCTTCTAAACTGACTTTTTGCACAATTGTTGAATGAAGCGCTAGTGCAGTTGACCTACTTGCTCAATGCAAATGTGCATGCAAATATGTTCTTATAAGAGAATCGCTTTGTAACATTATTTGGCACTAATGACTCTGTCACGCCTCTGTTTTACAAATGCTGTCACTTCTGTGAATGTGCAGTAACCTTAGAAAAAGCTTACTATTTGCTATCAGGTATATGTAGTACCCTTTGAAAAAGTCACTTAAACATTTGTCTGAAAAGTTTGACTTTAAATCATTCAATGCACATTAAAGTCACATTACATTTTAATAAAATGTATTCCAAACCCCAAATGTAAGCATACAGGCAATTAACTTTGCCCTACCATTTGAGTTTTTCCACAAAGGCCTAGATCAAACAGAAGTGTGCTGACAGGAGTGCAGGCAGTTCTGTTTGAAATATCTCATTTTATATTGACTTATTCAAATGGAAAGTTCTGCTGCAATGCAAAGGCAAATAACTCAAGCTTAATAGCAAAGATTGATGTCAATAATCAGTCAGTTATATGTCACATTTACAGACTCAAGATTAAAAAAAATCAATATTCAAATTTCCAGTTTACCAGTCAAAGAGAGTAATATATCAGACTTTTGCATAATAGCAGTTTTAGGTAAAGTATAGTATACTTAAGAAGTAGATTTGAACCTGTTTCACCCACACAGTCCTAATCCTTTTCTCACATTACTGTAATGAAAGCGTACATGAATACGCCAAGACATGAAGCAACATGTCATGCAAATGCTTGTTTTATTGATAAAAAAACGAACCGCAAATTATTTAATGAGCATAATAATTTGAGTGAATAATTAAACTAAAAATGAATATGAATTTTGCATGTCTTATTTCATTTGTCCTGCTTTTACTTAAATGGCAGACGCACTCGCATGGACTCCACAAGTTTGTGTAAAACCTGACGATTCAAAGAACATGAAGACCATGCGATCGTCTGTAAAAACAAATTCACATGATCAATGTCACTCATTTTTTTAATTAGTGACATTGAAATACTGCAGCACATTCACTTTCATTTAAATCACAGTTTAACTTCCAGTTTTATATTACATTTTTGAATCCCAGATTTGGGCCTCACTGCAGGGACACCTGATTCTCTGCTGTATACATTGCTTTTCCCAGAGTGCAGTCCCTGTCCTCTGCACCTGTACAGCAGTCTAATGTAAGAGTGAACACACCCACATGTTCCTAAACACACACAAACGATCAGGCCTGTTTACATGGAACAGATGGCATTTGCTTGGAAGAAATTCTCTGGTATACTTGCACCCAACAAGATGTAACCTGGAAAAAAAAAAGTCATAATGTGAGGAAAACTGTACCTTAGCGCCATAACAGTGCAATTGTTTTACTCTTACATATTTAAAAGTATATTCCTAGCATGAGTGCATTTGTGTTGTGTGTGACAAGAATGAGTAGGTGTGTCTAAACTTTCGACTTGTAGTCTCAAGTACGTTATATATTGTAGATCAGTTCTTAATGTGAAGTCATTAATCTTTTTACCGTAACTCAATGTCAGAACTCACTGTGTCTGCAAGAGACTGTCTGAATGTTTAAAATGAGAAATAGATGATTCCATGAGCTGTGCATGCATGACTTTAAACTGCATTCAAATATGGGCTGGCTGTGACTCATCTGTTGTCTATTCAGATGCATGATAACTTGCAGGGAATAATTTCCCTTGGGCGCATTTCCATAAATCAGTCATTTAAATCAGGAAGTGCACAGCATTCAGAGCTCAGATGCAGTCACTGAAGTCCTGATCTACGTGTTTCTGTCCCACCCTGTCATTCTTCTCTTGTTTTTTTGCTATGTGGCATGATTTGGGTGTGGTGATGTGGTGACAGCTTCAACTGTTCAACTTCAAGAATGAAAGCAGACAAAGACAGACAAATAGAAGCATAAAATAATATACGTTCAGAGGTGATAAATATAGTTTGCAATACACATTTACATTTGTTTAGCAAAGCGACATACAACTGCTGCAACAAGAGCGATTTACCCTAAAAAGACTGTAATATGAGGAGTGTTGTAATATAAGGTTTCAGAGTTGCATTGAGAAAAGTATGAGGTAATATCGGTCAAACCCTGACTGCAGGCTTCTCACATGAACATGGATTTGAGTGAAGGTAAATGGTGCACATCCAGTGACAGTTCAAGCAGGGCCACATTAACACTAACAGAGACCCCAGGGCTTTAATCTCGGAGGAGCCTGACACACCTTCATTTCGCAGACAATGCAACGGCCTACTGATTACATGATCGTTTTGCACAAGTAACCTGTATTTCTGTTGATGCAGGGACAAATACAATAGACAGCAACTTCCGAATGAAGGTCCTACAACAGTAAAATATGCACAGATATTACTACCTGAACTGATTGATGCAATAAACTTTGGATATTAACCTGCGTTTTAAACTGCATTGTTAAAATATCTGCATAAATGTTTCATGGAGATTCATTTGAATTATGCCCTGTACTAACTTCCACAATAAACAATAAACATGGTATAGCAAGATGAGAAAAAAAAAACTATACATTCTATAGAAATTTTTAAATGGGGTTTAAAATTAGGTTTAGCGAGAGGTCTGTAGAAATGGATGGCTGGTCATAGTTAATGCACTGCAGCCAGTAGCCACTGTGGAGGTGAAGTGGCACGATAAGTGGTAGGCCTAGAGTAAACCTCACAACCCTATCACACACACACACACACACACACACACACAAACAGACAGTTCACACTCACACACACATCACTCACATTATTTTTTAGCTGTTGTCTTAATAGTGTGTTTGGAGTCAGAAGTGCTTTGATAGCGCTTTGGATAAGAGTGATGAAATGTGATCATTTAATTTGTTTGGGGTCAAATCGGATAGTGGGTGGCAGAACAAAAATCCAGTTAAATAGCTTGTTATTTAATATTCTTAATCGCCATAGTGCCGAATGGTTGTCATTGTGAAACTGTGTCGTTAGGTTCAGTTGACACGGTTACGGTTTCTCTTGCGTGATTCTGAAGGTAAACACTGGAGCGAGCGAGAGGATGATCACATCATAAAGGCAAAAGTTTATACATACAACAGCCTGGAATGGTTTTATAATCGTACCGTTTCTCACCATGCTCAAAACCGTTCGGCTCGAAGGAGGAAAAGCACTTATTTGTGAGGAAATTCTGGTTTGTTGACTAACTAAAAAGGGCTCAACCCCAAAGTCTCTATGGTATTATATTTTAATTAGTAAATATAAATATTAAATATGAATAAATTATAAATAAAAAGATTCATTAACTGTTCCATTTAAATCTGATATATAATCAGATTTACTAGCCTATATACTAGCCTATATATATATATATATATATATATATATATATATGTGTGACCCTGGACCACAAAACCAGTCATAAGGGTCAATTTTTTTAAATTGAGATTTATACATAAGCTGAAAGCTGAATAAATAAGCTTAATAATATTAATTAATAATATAGGACAATATTTGGCCGAGATACAACTATTTGAAAATCTGGAATCTGAGGGTGCAAAAAAAAAAAAA